TTGAATACGCTCGAAGGCCTGCAACAGTATAAAATTAATATAAATGAGAATCAGGTGAAGAAATTTCCAAAACAGTCTTTTTCAAGATAGTCATTGTTTGATTAAGTGGAAGTAGGCAGTATATCATGTCTATTGATAATTTCATATGAACTGTGCTTGGCATACAATTATTGATGACAATTTTGTGTACATAATTTCACATTGTCACGTATCATTCTGTCTTTATACAGTTTTAACGAAAAATTATTTTTGTATTTAGTAGTTTTTTGCAAACATACCAATTGTCAAGCAAATTATCATTCATGATTCTACAAATAACATATTTGTTTCATACTCGACCGGTTCAACTTTACAGTTCTCTATTAAAGCGTATTTATGTTAAGAGTGTACCACGTGCAATAGTTGAAAACTTGAAATTCGATTAAAGAATTTTTATTTTAATTGATAATGATATTCATTACAATTGCGATGATCACTAGTTTAAATATTAAAGTATTGTAAAGTCACGTCATGGATGCTACGAGCTTGAAATTATTTGTTGAAATATGAGAGGTGAAATGGTTGATACTCCATCTAAATCTATTCCGGAGTGAAATCTTCCATCACTTTGTTGAACGTAACGACTACGCTATAGGGTTTTAATTCGCCTTTGAACATCGACTTGACACCTCTTGTATGGAAACCTAATACAAATTGTTGTTGATGATGTCCACGAGCCTAACCCCCACGCTTCTGAAGGTTCTCGTCTCGGTTGCATGACAAATTTGTTTAAGGTTCCTTCGGACAGCGCATGTTTTTTTACTTATTGGAAAGTGAACGGTGTGTGTGGCTAGAAATTCCTGCAACTTCCGTCGTAAACAACACAAATTCAAACATGGTTGAATAAAATAATAGTGTTAAACTAGAAAGAGTTCATTTTCCATGAGTCAAAGCTCTAATTTTTCGATTGTAGTGCATGCACATCACAAAATATATATTTGTTTACCAATAGGTGATGTGGTGAGATGTGATTGAATTAAAATTTCATCAACCAACTAAAAATAAAATTCGTCCACTTTCTTTTTACCACCTCACTAATCTGTAAAATAATCTGTAAATGATGATATATAAATAGCACTGTTCCTATTTTTTTTAGAATTTTGCACCGTAAGATCTCCAAGAGACCCTTTAAATTATGCTCCATTTTATCAAAATTCATTTTTCCAAAACTCGTGTTTAGCCCCCCGTTTGGTGTACATTTTGAAGGTAAGAATGCCTTTTTACTGTTGATGTGATGGAGAATATGTGGTTGAAAAATAAGGAAAACTTATTGATGTGATAGAAAATATTATTTCATTAAAAATGTGTGGTTGAAAATGAGAAGAAAAATGATAATGAAAAAAATAATGTGGATCAAACAGAGCCTTAACCATCTTTTTCAAAAAAAAAAAAAACACTAAAATTCAAAATTTCTTCCAATTTTTTAACTGCATATTATTCAAAATTCACTGTTAAGAAATTAATTTTCTCAAAAAGTGGGTCTCCATGGCTTAGGTTTCCATAACGTTTCTATTTGAACTTTTAAAAATAAATAGTGAGTTTGAGTCTATATTTTCTACTCCATCTTTATGTCTCCTTGACTATGCCCCCCAATGAAAATGTGACAAATCATGCAAACCGTTCACGTCAACATTTTAAGGCTTTTACTACTCTGACGGGAATTGCAGCCAGAATTTGGTGACAATGATGATGTGGCGAGTTGTGATTCGCCTTTTTTTTTTTTTAAATGCACCTTCCAATGATTTGATGACAAGTGTTGTTTGTCACCAAACACTATCAAATATCCTTGTCACAGTAGCATGGTTCTCATTTTAAACGTCATTAACAAATGGTTGAGGACAAGTCACTTTTTCCTAGGGGCGGACCCAAGAGGGGTCTGGGGACACGTGGACCCCCAACTTTTGAGGTTTTCTTTTTATTTTTATTTTTTCGATAAAATTATGTTTGGTATCAATTGAAATTGAAATTGAAATTGAAATTTTAATTTAAATAAAAGTTAACAATTAATTTTAATAACATATTTTATAGAATCCATAACTGTTTAACTTTTATCAAAATTTATTAAAAATTTGATTTTAATCTCCAACGAACAGGGCAAAATCACAATAATTTGAATTTTTCTCTTTTCTCTTACTCTCTTTTACTTATTTCTTCACACCTTTTAACAAAATCTTAACGCTTCTAATTTTTAAAAATTTGTATATAATTTCTCTATAAATTATCACATTTACTACAAATATTCACTTTCCAATCAAATTTTCAAATAATTATAACCCAAATTTGCATTTTTCCCTATCAAACTGTGTATATAGAATATTGTGTATGAACTCATTATATCCAATTTGACTTATATTTAACGAATTATGTTTATTTGATTGATTATTAGTATTGCATATTAGTTATATGTTTTTCCTTTCGATTACCTGAATTGATTGTTTGTATCAAATACATTATAAGATTTTTAGACGTAAATATGCATTTTCTTGTGATAAACAAAACATTAATAAAATGATTCTTCGAAATCAAATCGATGAAATTGATTAGCAAAATATTAATGAAGAAATATTTTTTTAAATGCAAATCTGCATGTTTCAAGTCAAGTATGAATTATTCAAAAATCAAAAATAAAGTATTTGATTTGTATAGGGTTTGATTGATCCCCCTAACGTAGAATATCTGCGTCCGCCACCTCTTTCTCCAAATATCATTCCTATGAATAAACTTCATTGTCAGTATAGATGTATGGAGAGAGAGAGATAATGATGAATCTTGTTGACTTGTAATGAGTCTTGTCTAAACCCTGCTCTTTCTTGGCGAATATCATCGACCTGGAAATTCCTGGTGGGAATGTTATGGATTTCTAAACAAGACTTGTCGATCCTTGAATGGAAGTGTAGGAGGAAGTTGTTAGATATTTTTCATCTTTTGAGTGTTCATGTTTTGCCACTACGCAACGGGAATCGACCTGCTCGGTCGGTCGAGCCCCGTGGGGGCTCGGGGGCAACGCCC